CAAGGAGGGGCAGAGGGGGAATGGGGACATCTGGAATAGCGTCAACAATTTAAAAAAAGGGGGAAAAATCCAACACACACACACACAAATAGTGTCACTTAGTGGTGTGCAAGAGTGTGAGGGCCGAGACCAAGGGCAAAGCTGAAGCTTCTTAAACGTGTGGGTAGGACGTGTCTGCAGGGGCTGGTTACGGCAACGGGTCAGAATGTTTGCTGAAGGTCAGTCATCGCGACCCGGTCCCCATCCCCGTGCTGGGGCCACAGGCCAGTACAGGGGCCAGGCCCTTTTGAATCTTAGACCTTTGTCCCTGGGAGGAGCCAGGTGAAAGTGTGTGGCTGGCTCAGAGCAAATGCAAGTCTACAGTGATCTGCATTATTGTGAGGCTGCGGGGCTGGGACCACTGTGTTCAGACACAAGGGATACTTTTTTATTTTGTGTTTCAATTTTGTGAAATGCTCCTTTCAAGGCTAGTACACAGTTCATACACATACACACTCACACACACACATATATATAAAGGGATACTGTAGAAAGCCTTTCAAAGACCCCACAGGTAACTGCTGGCACTTTCTTTATTCATATGCAAATAAATATGGATACATTCTAGTAGTTTCCCCTTTTATTACACAAAAGTGCTATATTATTTACAGGATTGGACATCTGGGGTTTCTTATTTAATGGACTATCTTGGAAATACTTCTATATTTGTACATGGTTTCCTTTTTTTTTTTCTTCACTACTGTGTATTTGAATTTATGGTCATACCATAATTTATTTCACCAGTCTCTATTGATGGAAATCTGGGTCGTTTCCAAGCTTTTATTTTTACAGTCTGCGTGAATAACTTGGGGATATAAATAATTTCACAAGTGGAAAAATATTCCAGAAGTGAAATTCTGGAGCAATTTAAAATATCCAATTACCCTCAAATGAGGTCATACCAATTTCTACTCTTACCAACAATTCACAAGGGGACCTATTTCTCCACAGTCTCACCACCAGTGTATAGACAACTTGAAGGATATTTCCCACGCTGTTTAAGTGAAATGGTATCACCAGCAGTGTCCCCTCTAAAATCAGGCATTAGACAAGGTCCCACTATTATACAACATTGCACTGTATGTAGTACTTTTCTCATGATCTGAGTGACGTTGGGGTATCTTCATCTAGTCAAACGCTACTTTGTGGAAACATGCCTGGGTTAATATTGGCGCAAACTATATTTTCCTAGAAAGTTTATCCACCAGACAAACAATACCTTCCAAAATGCTTTGAGAAATTGCTGCCGCTTTCATCAGGCAGATGGCGGAACGGTGGGTTTCATTATCGTGACAATCTAAGAACAAGGCAGAACCTCGAGCGATGTTTGCATCCCACCCGGATCTCACACGTACAGCCAGATACCAGGTCCCGTTTCTGCTGCGTTGTCCTGGGACATGCTTCCCCTTCTCACCTCCGTCACTCGTTTATATGTGAGTGATCCGTAACCTACTTCCAAAAGGGATTTTGAGGCAGTGCACTTCGATCTGATTCCAGAACAAACCAGGAGCATGTGGCGGTAAGCCAGCATTTGCTCACGTTTTTAATGTAATAATGAGAGATGATAAATTAGTATTTGTAAAATTCTTCGGGTTGGCATTATCAAAGCCAGTATTACTGGCACACTTTTCCGTAAAGAACAGCAGTTCTCAGCGAGGGTGATCTGCCTCACAGAGAACATTTGGCCATGTCTGGAGACATTTTGGCTCGTTACAGCGGAGGGATTAGGGCTGATGCTGGCACCTAGTGGGTAGAGGCCAGGGACACTGCTACACATCCTGTAATACATAGGGCAGCCCCCCACAACAGAGAGTTATCCAGCCCAAAATATCAATAATGTTGACGTTGAGAAACCCTGGCATAGAAATTTTTTTCCCTCTGTGTGTGTTTCAGGATTTTATAGAAAAGCTGCAAAAACTTACAGGATACCTCAACAAAGACATTTATGGAATTTGGAATAACATCTACGACCCTTTGCTTTGTGAGGTAAAAGAAAAAATATATATTAAAAATGAACTTGCAGTCTAATTTTGACTTACGCCTACTCTGAAATAGATGAATACATTTTTCTTTGCCTTTTTGCAGATGTATTATACTTTCTTTCACATTGCAACATAATTCAAGCCTTTATATTAACTAGAACATTCTGACTTCTTCTCACCATTATTGATGTTTTCACCCTTTAAAACATTGCAAACAGAATTGCTTTTCTTCTATGCCTTGTTACTTATGTTTCAGTCACTCGGGAATGCTGGGCTCCTGCCATGGATTTTAATGAAAAATACAATGTTACTGTACAGTAAGAGAAAAAAACACACACATCTGATTTCTGGATATAAAAAAAAGGCAAACCAACTCTAAGCCAGGCTATTGAAAGTGCTTCATCAGGAAAGAATTTCTTCCTTGCCATCTAATGCATATGAAATAACCTTTGCAGCTAAATTAACTACTGAGCTTTCCAAGGGCCCAGGGGGTTTCTCACTCACATGCTCCGCCTGCTGGCCGAAAGGAGTACTCCACAACCCCGGGTTCCCAGCCAGTTCACGGAATCCGGCGCCAAAATTCTGACCATCCGCACCACTCACACCCACTCCTGACTTTGTGGTCATCGTGAGCATCTGGGGGCAGCAATTCCTTTCGTGGTTCCATCTCAGTAGCAGGTGACACAGTCTTCCCCCCTCCACGTCCGAGTTCATTGCCCCAAGCACACACTCCTTTCCTAATATTCATTTTCATCAGCATCTGTTTCCAGGGAGATGGGTTAGCCTATTTACAAAACACTCTTCCATGGAGAAGAGAGTCTACATTTTGGTTCCGGCCTTGATTTTTTTCTTTCTTGCTGCAGTTTGATCTGAGCTAGTCCATAATGTGGTCATGGTGTGTGGCTCTGTCACCTCTTTCTCTCTGGTTTTCCCACTTTTCTTTGGTCCCTCCCCACCCCACCCCCGCCCTGCCTTTGAAACTTGGGCAATCTTAATTCACTCTTTATGGCAGATGATAAATATTGGCACACGGTCTCTTAGCTGCCCTGCTGTACAGTTCAGTCATCAATTTAGCAAATATTTACCAAATGCCTACTGTGTGCAGGACTCGGGCTTTCCTCGAGAGGCCGTGAACTAGAAGCTAGGGGTATGTTCTTGGGGGCTCTGAAAATGCATTACCTTTCCCAGCCGTCCCCTCAGGCTGCTCACTCAGCTTTTAAGGAAACAGCATCTAACCCTGTCAGCTTTACCTTCCCCCCCAGGTTAATAAAAAGCCCCCTAAACCTTTCATAAAAGAATAAGCTTCACTGCTTCCCTATTGCACCGAGACTCTGCAAAGTACGAATCACCCTTTGGCCCAGAGTTAAGCCCAAAGCCATGGACTTGGTAGGATGGGCGAATATGTTTCTGTGGCTTTTTCTTCTGAAAAATCAATACCACTGCTTATCACAATGTACAGTTTTCCTAGAAAGAAAGGGCAGGACAAGGAAGGCTGGACCCAGTAGTTGAGGGGTGAGCGATGATAAAAAGCCAACAAAGAGGACAGTTGGAAACAAGTGCACGCATTGCCTCCCTCTGCCTTTGCCGTAGGGTGCTCACAATTTCACTCTACCCTCCTGGGCCACGGAGGACACCATGGCGACGCTCAAAGAACTGTCGGAGTTGGCCCTCCTGTCCCTCTATGGAATTCACAAGCAAAAAGAGAAAAGCAGGCTGCAGGGGGGTAAGTATGTTTTTTTAAAACGCGAGGAGCAGGTTGGATTTGGGGTTGCATGGCACAGGCCTAAGCCCTGGCTGCACCGCCACAGCTGTGTGACCTTGGACAAGTCGCCTAATCACCCTTGTACCAGTTTCCATCGTGCAAAAGGGGAATAATAATGTCATTCACGTCATGGGTCATACGCATTAAAGCGAAGGAATATATTCAAAAGGCTTCGGACGAAGGCCACCTGGTACATCATGCGCTGACGATAAACATTGTGTGTTCTTGTAATTGTTGGTAGGACCCACGCCAGGCCTGAGTTTCCCCATTTGGAAAATGAAAGCTTTGGGCTAGAGCTAAATGATACTTTCCCTCCTCTTCATATCAAAGAATCAAAGATTTTTGTATCCGAGCCCCATGAAAATCAATGTGTCCCGTGGCCCATATGAGGAAATTTTCAAGTGGGCGGTAGGATGACAGTGGCCTGTTTTCCCGAAACCCTTGGTGGTGGCTATTTCAAAAGCTAATCAAACATAGTCTGCAGGCTAATCATGCCCCGGAGATGAGTGTCTGTTACAATTGACAGGCTTATGACTCACCTTAGATTTTTCCACTGGTGTTGAAAAGTGTTTATTTCTCAGCGATGCCGCTTCTCAGCTAGATATGGGCCTTCGTGGCGTAAGACAGCTCATCATTATGAAGGCAGACCCAGGAAAGAGGGTGCCAAGCCCTTTGGAAGAAAGCAGCCAGGACCAGGCAGGATGGGGACAGACGCTGAGGCCTCTGAGGGCATCGGGCAGGCTGCCAAGACACCAAAGGGCGCGTCGGGTTCAGGATGATGGAGGCACTAAGACAGAGGATGGAGAGTGAGAGAAGGTCCAGTATGTCGGCTGCCGGAACAATGAGGCAATTCTAAGCCACAGGAGATGCTTCAAGTCATCTACTCTAGACAGTTTGAGGACAACAGGCCAATCCCAACGGGACTCCGGCCGTGGCCAGGCTACTTGCCATGGGGTCAGGACAAGTTTAGCAGAACCCCAGGAAAATACGGAGCAGCCAAGCATCCTGGTGGCTGGACCAGACTGGGAGGAAGGCCCCTCAGGGCTACATAGCTAGAGAAAGAATTCAGATCACCAGCCAGGAGAGGAGACAGTTAGAGCTGGAAAAAAGAGCGATGGAAGCTATACCCAGAAGGACAGCTCATGAATGGTGGTCACGAGCATATGAGGTGTACAAAGTAGCTTGTGGCAAATGGCTCAGCGCAGTGGTCACTGGTGATGGGATGACGTTGCAGGCCCGCTGTTACAGAAATCTTGATCACACGGCACAGGGGCAAACCTGACAGCAATGTACGAGTCCTTACTCCGTGCTAAGGGCATGAGCAGCGAGATCCAAAATTTTGGGGAGAGCATCCAGAGATGAGCCTTTGATGGGACCTGGTATGCTGGGGGAAATTATCAGGCAGGATACAGACTGTGTGTAAGGACAGAGCCCAGGAAGCAGCTCAATCTTACTCAAGTACTAAAACACAAAAGGACGCAGAAGGTGAAAGTTGGGCCACATTGGCTACATAAGCACCAGGCCTCACGCGTAGACCACCAGATGCCAGCATTATGACTCACTACCAAGTCCATTAGATGGTGGAGGCAGGACTCTGGATTTATTTCCTCCAACCTAGTCACAATGGGCTAGGGACTTCAGGCCCTTGCTACTCAAAATGCAGCCCAAGGACCAGCAACAGCACCTATCATCTGGCTAGAGATGCAAAATCTCGGGCCCCGCCCCAAACCAGCTGAATCAGAACCTGCGTTTTAATAAAACCCACAGGAACCTCCCCTGTACATGAAAGTTTTAGAAACACTTTTCTAGATGCAAGAGATGGTGAAGAAAAGAGCAGGAAAATCCAGGCAGGGGTTGACAATAGCCTAACAATGGATGCTGAGGTCTGTATGAACCAAAGATGAGATTTATCCTAGTAGCTTGCTAATGTGTGTTTTTTTTGTTTTGTTTGTTTTTTCATTTGGCTACTAGAAGTTGTATTTCACAGGCGTCACTTCCCTCTCTGGGTCTCAGTTGTCCCATCTCATGTATGTATTAAACTAGATTCTGTCTATGAGAGCCCTCCCCTAAGGTGTCCTCTCAGCCTTGGGCTCTAAAGGCTGGCACTGGTGTGAATGCACCTGTCCTATTTTCTGGAGGAAGTCCAGTGCTATTGATAAGTCAACAAATTGCTTCCTGAGTGATACCTGCCAAAACACAAGCTCAGCCTATTGTTCCAGTCTCGCTAGGCAAGAGAGACTTGTCAGCTATAGGCTTGTTGAATGCTGAAGAGACCGGATGCCATCCTGCAGAGGAAACAGTTGGTTTCAGGTGTGACCAAGTTGGGTAATATCCCCCCTTCCCGCTACACACACACACACACACACACACCAAGAAAATCCCTACAGTTCATGTAGAAATACATGGCTGGTCATATTCATATTAATGGAAACCTCTTCTTGCTCTAGACCAGGGGTTGGCAAACTACGCCCTGCAGTCCAAATCCAGCCCACTGCCTATTTTTTGTAAATAAAATGTTATTAAAACTCAACCACATGCTTCCTTAGGTGTATGAGGCTGCCTCTGTGCTTCCACCCAAGAGTGAACAGTGGTGGCTGACCCTATGGCCCACAAAGCCTAAAACATCTATCTGGTACTTAACACAAAAAGTTTGCCAATCCGTGCTGTGACCCAAGAGTGAGGGAAGTGATGCTTATGTCTTTCAATCAATGGCATTTTGTCTAGTTTATGCAGATTTAATAAATGATGCAACAGGGAACTGAGCAGCTAGCATATGTTACAGCACAGTCTAAAGGCTAAGAGCGAGGGTTTGAAGTAGGACGTGCTGGGTTCAGAGAAGCTCAGCCTGTCTGCTCACGGTTGTGTCATATTGAACAAGTCGCTGAGCCTCTCGAGTCTCAGTTTACCCTCCTGTAACACATCATTACTGGGATGCCTGAGCCTGGGGACACTTGTGATAGTTACCCCTCATTTCTCAGAAGACAAGGTGGACAATCGCTCCAGATCAAGAGCTAGTATCATTCCATTATCAACACTGAAGGCTGCTGCCAAGACACCTGCTGACAAGGGACAAGTTGATTGGAGATGGCTGTCATGACTCACAGAGACTTGGCCTCAGGGTTTAGTACCAATGTGGCATGAAGATCAAGCTGAAGTCCCTAAAGGGCTCCCTGACGGTAACCTTCCCTGGGCCAGAGAGATGAAGACCTGTAAGAGATGTAACATCAAGCTTCTTCCGTTTTTAATCAAAGAAGTCCCAGCATCTATAGAAAGCAGGTCACCTCCCTCCATAATTATCCTTTATTGGGCATGTTGGTATACAGACCAATAAAGTCTCTTCTTATTATTTTATGAGCTTCTTGAGGACAGGAAACATGTCTGATTCACCTAGCCCATTGAAACTGCTGGCCCACTGAAGTTGCTCAGTATGTGTCTGTTAACATCAATGTCCTGCTCATTATAAAAACAAAACCAAAAAAACTGGTCATTCTCAAGACAAGTGAGCACATGTGTAATAGAGAGGCCACCAACAGAGACACAAGGGGCCTTCAGGTGATGGTGGTGGAAGTCCCTGAGGCCATATGTCCCCCAAACAGCACCTGGCACTACAAGGCACCCTCAGCCTTTAGTGTCTGCAACAGGATGGAGACTGAGTCATGCCTTGGCCTTTCGCCACCTCAGCGGCGACAACCATACAGGGCAGAAGCTCTCATCTGTGAAGACACATGAAAGCTAAAGGTGCTGGATGCCCCCCTAAAAGTGGCACCCAGGGGAACCTGCAGAAATGGTCCACAGGAAACAGTCCATGAACTGGACAGACAACCAGAGAGCTGCTTTCTCCCATGGTCTCCAACAGGTCTGACTGCCAGAGAGTGGAAGCAAGAGAGACCAAGACAGAGAAGTCCACATGACACCATCATTTCAGGCCTGCCCTGGAGAAGAGCATTGCTAACAACTGTCTCGGAAAAGCCATCTGAAATCCCTTCCACATTCCTCAGCCTCCTAACTTGAGCTGTAACAAAATCTGGTATCGTAGAGTCCTGGCGTGCCAGCCCAGCTCTCCTTCCCCAGCTGTGTGAGTCACTAATGTCTCTGGGCCTCAGCTTCCTCACCTATAAATGGGTATGTCAGGCTTCAGTAAAATAATGTGTGTAAATCACACTACTAGCACACAGCAGATGCTCAGCCAAAATTAATTCTTTCCCTCTCTTAAGTCTTGAGAATCATGGCAGAGAGAATCAGACTATGAATTAACTGAAAGCTTATTAACTGAAATAGAATCGCATGCTTGATCCAGCTCCATGGTTGATCTGTCTTCTTTAAGGTGTCCTGGTCGGTGAAATCCTCAGTCACATGAAGAAAGCAACGCAGCCATGGAACCACAGGAAGCTTGTCATGTACTCTGCTGTAAGTATTTTTGTCTCCACTCAACCTTCATTTGTTTGGGTGTGTGACCTCTTGGAGGTGGGGGCCTCATCTTCTTAATTATCATTTCCCTATTGCCCAGCAGATGGTAAATACCTGTTCAAAGCTTTTAAAATTAAATACAAATTCCAGCTCTTGAGGAACTTGCAATCCAACACTGATGAGTATATACGGAAACACCACGCCAAGCACTATAGAAATGCCCTTCAAGCCAGTGCCTTGGTGCCTCAGAGAAGACAAGCATTCATTTCTTTTCCAAACCAGGGAATCAACAGGAGAGGACAAGCAGGGTGTGCAGGGCTTGGTGATGAGTTGGAATGTGGGTGGAGGGCAATGATGTGGGAGGTAAAGCCACAGGTAAATGCAGTATGTCAAGCCTCAATGATTGGAACCATTAACAGAAGTGGTCTTGGGCCAGGTGAATGTACCAATTAGACAACTGGCTGTGAAATGCCAGGGCGCATCCAAGCAGAAAACTCCAGATGGCAAAGGGCTGGGTGGAAGAGGGAATGAGAGCTGCAACTTGACGTTGGAGCTGTATTTGGGTACAGAAAGCAGAGAGAGATCTGGGAGAAGACTTGCATCTTGGAGCAGGGGAGACAGGGAAAGAGACATGGCTGGAGGGAAGTTTGCAGGCACCGTGCAGGGTCCATGGAGTCTGGGATGAGCAGGGAAACTGGACATTGTATGCTGCCTCAGTCGTCCACCCGCTGTCTCCATGTCAGAGGATCTCACAGGTGTGGTTTGGGTGGAGAAAGCCATGTTTTCATTCTGCACGAAGATGGAAGAGGCGATTGAAGGTACAGGGAGCTCTGTTTATCATCAGGGATTCTAAATGGCATGGACTAGAGAAAGGGCTCATGGAGTATAGTGCTTCCCCGAGAAAAGGAGGCCTGAAAAGTCAATTACACGTTTCCTTAGTTTCTATCTGGTTTCCAGTTCTAGCATATGACTTACAGGAAGTCATGTATCTGTAACTCCATTTCTTTCTCTAGTAAACTGGTTCTAACCGCTTTTGAATATGTGTGCACCGCAATATTATTCAGGCAAACAAATGTTATACCTGTTTGGTAGATTCGGAAGTTGAGGATTTCCTAAAATTAGATAGCTAATCAGTGACAAAACCAGACCCTATGCTTCCCAGCCACTCTGGGATAAACACTGAACAATTATTTTTAACCTACACACTCTACTTCCTCATATTCTACCCTCTCTAAACATTTACGACCTCATATATTCCTCCCCAATTTAAAAACTTATAGATTATTCTAATCTATACACAAAATAATCTAGCATTAATATGTTCCAAAATATTTTAAAATGTAATGAAAATCAATGACACAAGCTAAAACACAGAGGCTACTGGGAAAAGGCACAGGAAAAAATCAGAAGACATGGCTTAAATGTACATTCTTCCTTTTGGGGGTTATATGACATTTAAGCGAGTTCATTTCTCTGGGTCTGTTTCTTCATCTTTTAAATAGAAGTAATGATATGTATGCAAATCTCACTGCCTAGCACACAGCAGATGCTCAACCAAAATTCTTTCCCCCTCTACTACTTAAGTCACTGGGGGTACGTGAAACTAAACTGAATCACAAACCATCATGGTGTTCTACAAGTGCTTAATGCATACCTACTGAATGTAAATCTGAACTAGAAATAAAGGTCGAAAATGAATTGTTTTCAAATCCCTGTAGCATGACACCACTGTGAGTGGCCTACAGATGGCGCTAGATGTTTACAATGGACTCCTTCCTCCCTATGCCTCCTGCCACCTCATGGAATTGTACCTTGAGAAGGGGTAAGTGTCCAAGAGGTGCTTTTCAAAATTAATACCGCTGGACCTGAAGTGTTATTATTGATATTGTTAGCTTAATGATATTCTTAAAATATTTAATTTTTAGTTAGGTACATAAACTTAAAATCATATACTATATTCAATAACTTGTGTCTTCACCGCTAGAGCCAATTTTGAATCCCCTAAAACTGTTTATCAGATATATTAACTAATAAGAGTAATTTTGGCTGCTGTAGAAATGAACCTCAAATTCTCAGAGGTTTACTTAATCCAATAGAGGTTATTTCTCACCCATCTGACAGTTCAATGTTGTTGTCCCTGGCCAGTAGGAGGTGACTTACTCACCAGTGAGCCACACATGGTGACTCAGGGACGCAGGGTTCCATCTTTTGGACCTACAGTTTTCAAGAGTGCTGGGCTCATCTGCAGGAAGCATGTAGAAAGGCACAAGACTGGGTGGGAAAAGCAACCTGCTAATGAACCACCTCAGCCCAGAAGTGGCACAGGTCACTTACACTTACATCTTACTGGCTAAAATTAGTCACTTGGTCCCACCGAGGTGAAAGGGGCTGTGGGAAATGTAGTCACTTCTCAGCCATAACTCTATTCTATGGAAAGAGAATCACGAGTCTTGAAGGACTTTGGTCATATCATTTTGAAATGAAGATGCCGCCACTGGAAAAGCTGTCTCACAATAAAAGTACTCAGTCATATATTAGGGAAGTTTTAAAAAAACATATCTTATAAGGGAATATTTGTTTATATGGCTTTTTAAAGTGATGTTTTAAAGGGCTTATTTATAACAACACCCAAAAGTGGCAATTGTGAGGTCACTACACACACACACACCCCTGAGGGGGTGGGGGAATCACCAAATCCTACTTGAATTTCTCTCCTTGCTTTTTGGCAAATGACTTTCACAAGCGCCTCATGCTAGCCGTACTGAGATTGGTTTAGCCAATGGACCTTCCCCATTTGAAATCAAGTATGGAGAGAGCCCTCTTTCATATGAGAGAGTGTGAGGACTTGGGTATCTATCCCCACTCCCTCTTTCTGAGGAATAATTTTGATACAGCCTTTGTTACATGTTTAAGCACGTATGTCATGTATTCCTCAGTTCCATGTTTATGGCCTGGTTAAGGAGAGGGGAGGTGGTTCATTCAGAGGAAAGACTGCAAAGTACTGAGGAAAAGAGAGGAAAGAAAGGAGCAAATGGGAGCATAAAAGGGGAAGAACAGGATAAAGAAACCCCAAGCCCCACCTGCCCCCTGTTCTTACTCAGAGACCCACCAAGTCACCCCAGACTCCTCCAGCCAGGGCCGGTCAGCCTCTTCTCTGATTAAGTCACCCGGTCCCCACCTCCCATGCCCCTGGCCATCTAACAGACCAGCCTGCCCCCATTCCCAGTCTCTGGTCAGGCCTGCCTGCACAACCTCCCCTCCCCCACCCCTGAATTGGTTAAAATCTACTGGTTCCCATCAATTCTTCCACTAGGCCCGCAGCCCACGGGTCAGAGGCCAGGGGGAAAGGAGCTCGGGGGCGGTTCAGCAGGGAACTGACAGCGCTCTCCTCTCCCTTCCTCCGCCAGGGAGTACTTCGTGGAGATGTCCTACCGGAATGAGACTGGCCGTGAGCCGTACCCCCTCACGCTGCCAGGCTGCACCCACAGCTGTCCTCTGACCAAGTTCGCTGAGCTGGTTGCCTCTGTGATCCCCCAGAAGTGGTCTGAGGAGTGTATGATCACCGGCAAACATCAAGGTACTAAGGATGGTGTGGATTAGGGGGCATGGGAGTCCCACAGACAGGGCAGAACACCCTTAGGGTGGATGGTGCTTTGAGAATATAACTTGGCCTTTACCCCCAGATTTTAAAAAAATAGGTTTTGGGTGATAATTGCATGTTTCAGGGACCCCAGTTTCAGGCAACTCCTACCTCTCTACCTGGCCCTGCCCCCACTTGCTTGCCATAAACCTCGACTTGATTTTTTTCAGTGTTAATATAAAAGGGCTTCAACGCCATAATATAATCAGAGATAAAACTTCAAAGTTCATGGGGCTGCCATGAGCTACATGATTGGCCACATAGGGCCTTTCGCTCTTTATAGATATGGAGATTTTATTTGAGCAGAATTAAACGAGGCCGTTCTTTAAGAGTCTAAAGTGAAAAAGATTTTAAACAAATCTCGGTGACAGCAAAGACGGGAAGACTTTAATCTTAGGCTAATGGCAAAGAACCAACCTACTCATTACTTCCAGCCTTCTCATGAGAAGCAAAGAACTGAGATACAGCCCGGCCGGGTGTGGCTCAGCAGTTGAGCATCGACCTAGGATCCAGGAGATCGAAGTTCGATTCCAGGTCAGGGCACATGCCTGGGTTGCGGGCTCAATCCCCAGCCGGCGGCAAGTAGGAGGCAGCCGATCAGTGACTCTCATCATTGATGTTTCTATCTCTCTGTTGCTCTCCCTCTTCCTTCTTCTCTCTGAAATCAATAAAGATATATTTAAAATAAAAAGAAATGAGATACAGTAGAGAGATCTACACCAGGAAACTGATCCTATCTTTTAATATTTCTGTTAAAAACATATTGGGTGGAGAGCTGAAAAATAAATATCTAAATAACTCTCTGTATCCTTTGGTCCTGGAAAATCCATGTTACTTTTGAAAAAACCAAAAGCAAACTTGCCAGAAAACTTTGCTGTATATAATACACCTGGCAGCTCCCGGAGTGCATATATCACAGCAAATAAGTAATCTGATGAGAACACGATATTCAGATGACAGCCCTGCAGAGTGGAGTTGCTCCTGAAGCTCCACAGTGAGAGGCTGAGGTTGATGTAAGAGAGGAAGTATGATAACACATTTCAAACTGGAGCAAAATTAGAAATGTCAGGACGTCCTGAATGCCTCCAAGATCAAAACTTACTGGAATGTTGAAAGTGGGGCTGTGGATCCTGGTATCTTCAGAAAACCTAAGCACCCACGGGTCCTGCTGAAACCACTGTCTCTGTAAGGAACCACATTCAAATGATGACTCTTTAGAACCCTGTAAATCTGCCACGTGGCAGATGCAATACGTCCAGAGAACGTGCTGTGTTACAATTATGGCTAAAGATGAAATGGTTTCTAGAGATGGTTTCTACTGGGTGCCAGAGTCTAGGGCAAAGTCATTCCCTCTCCCAGCAGACTGTGGGATGACTGACATGAGATATTGATTGATATGTTTATTTGCATTATTTCTTTCCCAAGTAAATATTTGGTCTTGGGGGTCATCATTTAATTATTCTTTCTCCTTCATGCATATAACTTTCCTCCAGAAGTGAGCCAAGTATAAAATAGTGAATAAATACATCATTAGGAAGTTCAATACCATTACTTTTTTTTTACAATGAATTTTTTAAAGTATGTCCTTTTTTAATTATAATAAAATTCCTGGAGGGCACATTTTAGGAACTTGTTTTGTTTTTCTGTTTTTATTTTAATGTAACAGGAAGAAAAATATATAAAGCTTTTACTTGTATTTGACTGGCTTAAATGAATGTTTTACGTTGACAATGTATTTGGTCTGGACTTTACTCTTCGGATGAAGGCTGAACTGATGGATGACTCTGCTTCATCTGTTTAAGATAAAAATTGCTATGAAGAAATCCTTGGGCAATATCTGATGTAGTGGGAAGTAAAGAGATACCTATTACACAGAATAACTAAGGTTTATGTCTTATGATTCAAGGGTTTCTATGGGAACAAAAGCTACCTGGATTTGGAGGGAGGGAGGTAGTAAGGAATGTCAGGGAAGGCTTCTTGCAGGAGGTGACAACCGACCCATCTGAAACCAGTTTGAATGGAGGTTTCTAATTGTGTGGTGCCAGGTACTTGAAAGGCATATATCAAATGTTTTAGTGGCACGAAGCTGGAATGGATCAAGGAGTTACTCGGCATAAGATTCAGGGTTCAAAGAGGTTCCCACTGGTGTCCTTCAAGGGGATGTTATCTCCACAATGGCCAGGATTCTATCTATTGTGTCCTCTGCTCTCTCTCTCCCCAGCACCTAGAAGTGCCTGTGCCTGGCATGGATTGGCACTCAATGAACATTTGCTCAGAGTGCATAAATTAGTTGCCTTTCCTCCATGAACCTACTCTTAGATTCTATCTTGATCAGCAGCAATACCCAGTAACCTGGGAGTTTTTTTGACACACCCTTTCCTTCTGTCACCTCTCATCGAATCTGCCTGTTATGTTCATAGAAGTCTTTTCCTTGAAACACCACTATCAACAATTCAAGATCCACACAGAGTGAAATATCATAAATCAGCAAAATATGTTAATGAAAACTCAAGGATGGTGTGCAGGAGCCAGCTAAAACAGATTGAGTGGAACGTAGGCACTGCTTCTCAACTCTGAGTTTGATGACTTCATTTTGGTGGTTGGAAATTGGCCATGGTGTCACAGCAGGAGTATTTTCACCACAGAAATGGGCATATGCCACCAATCAGAGTGTTCTTTCTTTATATTTGTTTTATTAGATCCAGTTACCAGCACACAACTGGTTTTAGCTCATAGAAAGTTTATTAAGAGCCTATAACATGAGGTGGTCTCCAACAGAGTGAATTTAATATTTGGACTTCTTTAAGTAAAAAGGATCACATTTGTTCTATATGTTCTGCACAGTGATGCTCAGGGCAGCAGGTAAACATCTCAGGAAGACAGACTGTGTTCCTGTTAGGAAATTTCTGGGACTGGGAGTGTCCATTGGGCTGGGTGGCCACTTGCCTTGACAGAGACACTATGAGCAGGTGAAGCCTGGAAGGTTGTAGGGACCGAATGACTCCTTAGTAGGGCCACCAAACTTAGCAAATAAAAGTACAGGATGCCCAGATAAATTTAATTAATGGTTCTAGCTGCTGAATTTTTATAATTTATTTTTTTAAAGGCCAAATTAAGGACATTTAGGGTGTTCTGAGAAAGCCAATATAGGAAGCAGACAAAGATGTTAAATAAGGACATATTCTAGATCTACATAATGCCTGCCAACCCTACACCATAGGGCATTTCCACCCATGAAACCCTAGTCATAGCTGTAGGCAGTGTTTTCAACTAGTAGACCCAATTAAATTAATCAGAGCCTTTGCTGGAAAATTCATGATAAGTCTAAGTTTCATACTATGTTACTTAAAAATAATAAAATTCTTTTTTAGAAAATGCTTCTTCAATTCCCAAATTTTACTAACACAATCAGACCTTCACTGGCGCTCTCCCAACCCCTATCTCAAACTCCACTCCAGATATTTCATAGGAAGGAGATTCACTGGTGGGTAGTTCCTGTTTCCCCTTATAAAATTGAGAATCTACAGCACATATATACATGCCCAAGAGTCAACCATGAGCCTCGAAGATGGGATCCATACGTTTTTCCTCCCTGAATCTCCAGGCAGTCGACAATGCCTAGAACCTGGTACCTTCAACCAATATTTGCTAATTGAATAAATATTCAGCCCTCCATACCTAGCCTGGCTTCCTCATGGCTGGACCCAGATGTCAGAAGCCTGGACTCAGCTGTTCAATAATTAGGGGAGAGAAGCTATGAATGAGCCTCAAATGTGACTGGACTATAAAGACGTCGTCATTAACTATAAACACAGATGTCTGTATCAACATGTCTGTTATTTGACCTCTGCTTTCGGCACAGTCACCTGGGCATGCTCTTGTTCTCCACGGCTGTTTAGAGGCCCTGTTCGATGATACCCCTCCCAGCACCCCTCCTACCTCAGAAGTGAGGCCATCTGATTGTAATATATTTTTCTCATCGTTGCTGCCATTATAATCAGTTTCCTAAGACACGTCTCATCATTAATAAAAGACACTAGGAACTTGCTTCGTTATATATCAACTCACTTCCACTCCTGCACTTAACCTAGGCAGTTGGGACTGTCGTAACCATGCCCTACCTCATTCCCTGCCCACCACACCAATATCCAGCCCTACGTCAAGTCAAACACACAGTTTCCCCATTCTGATCTGCCGAGTGAAGCTTAAGCCTATTGTCACCATTTCTAACTATGAATGTTGACATTTCTATTCCAAACTCGGCTGGACCTTTCAACCCTGCCTGGTAAACGTATTACCCTTACTGGACTCTCTTCCTGTTTTCTACAGAAAAGTCTCGTTCTTTTTCTGAAATTTCTAATTCCATCTTGGCTTCTTTAATTCTCAGAGGGTGTCCTAAGAAGACCAAGATAATCCAATGAAAACCCTTTTAAGTTCTCCTGTCACTACCTTAAAATATCTCAATAGCTTTAACCTGCCTTTACTGCTGTTCCTCAGGAAAACATGTTCCTCCTTGAGTAACCTAACTCCTTTCCTTGTGCATATGATCCCAACTCTTCAGTTTCCTTGGACCTCAGTGAATCTCTTAGCTTCACTGCTCCATCCCTTCTGTGATGAAAACGCCCAGCTCTTTTCTCATCAGAGTGCCCTCCAATGCCTGCTCCATCTCACTATCTTCAATCCCAGTTTTCTCAAACTAATAACTTGTATTCTCTAACTCTATTTCCTTATTTCCCTCTTGCTCCTGAACTATTCTGTAAAATGTTCATCCTTCATGTTTTTAAATTTTTAAAAAATTCTCACCTAAGGATATGTTTTCTGATTTTTAGACAGAAATATCGATGTAAGAGAGAAACAGTGATTGGTTGCCTCCCATGTGTGCCCTGATCTTTCATGTTTTCTGAAACTTCCTTTTGGAAAGCCAGCAGTGCCTAATTCAGCAGCCTCTTTTCCTTTTCCTGCCAACATCACATATCCCCATTCTGCAGAGAAAAATATTGAACCTCAGAAAATCACATGCTATAGGTGGTAGTGTCAGGATTCAAGCCTAACACTTTCCAACACCAGATTCTCTTATATCATAGTCCCTTTCCACCCCGCACTGTCTTTTGGGCCATTTCCTTAAGACAAATTCCCCAAAATAGGATTAGTGGGTCAAAGACTATGAATATTTAATAAGCAATAGGTATTTATTGAATACCTATTATCCTATGTAGCAGACATTACGTTTGCTGAGGAAACAGCAGCAAGACAAGAAAATTGTCCCCGTGTGGCTTGTAGACCTCAGCAGGAAGGTGAGACAACAGGTGAGGAGGAGAGGGAGACAGAGCTGACGGCGAGCACTGCGACAGACATACAGACACCTACAAGAACATACAGCAGAGGGAATCAGCCTGAGCCTCAGGGGTCAGAAAAGGCTTCTCAAAGGGGGAATGTTCAAACCAGAATCTGAAGGAGAGAAGGAATTAACCAGGCCAGTGAAGATGAGAGAGGAGAGTGTTACAGACTAAAGAGAGAAAATGTATAAAAGGCGAAGAGGCTAAACGCAGAGGCTGTCCGGTGGGAATATAAAGAGGCTGGAGAGGCAGGCACCAAGTGTCTCCTAGGTCAGGTTGAGCAGCTCTGGTCATTAAAAGGTTTTAGAGGACGGGGTGTGCCTGGCTTCCTGTTTTAGAAAGACCCCTTTGGCTTCGGAAGGGAGAACAGTCAGGAGGCTGTTGCAATAATCCAAAGTGAGTGATGGAGAAGAGCAGACTTATTCAAAGGGGGAAGAGAGAGTAGGTGGGACTCGGGGCTAACGGCAAGAGGAAAAGGCTCTTCATAATATTGCCAAAATTGTTCTCCAAAAAGTGGTTCCAAGTCACACTGTCTTGGGCAGCCTTCATGTGTTCCTAGGTTGTAGGACATCTTTTCAGTCATCACCCGCACCAGGCTCTTTGCAGTAAGACACAATTGATCACGCTCTTTTCCAGATTCTAGAACATTACTCTGTCAAACTCACCAAATCCTTTACAGTATAGGGAGCATATAATTTAAAAAATAAACGAGAGGGGGCAAGAGACTCTCCTGAGTCTTCTCTTTGCTCCCAGACTCCCTGATTAGCTTCTCTTGGATTGGACCCTTCCACCCACCCCTCTAATACATTATTTCATCCCAGGCCCTGTCCTTGGCTCTCTTATTTCACGCTCACCATAAACCAGTGAGTCCCAGGCCTCCACCTTGTACATCCAGAGCCCTCGTTTCCACATCTGCATGTGGAATCCTATACCTGTTTTCTCCAGCTGCCTGCTGGTCATCTTTACCAGGATAATAACATCTCAATCCTGCATCTGAAACAAAATTTATTATCTCCTCTACTCCAAACTGATCCTTTTAAATGTGCTTCTAACCTCAACTCATAACCTAGTCACCTTCTCAACGACAGAAGGTAGAACCCACGGGGGGACCTTCACCACAATTTCTTTACCAGTATATTTAGCTCATTACAAAGCCTGTCAATTTGACTTCAGAAGCACCTCTTGAACCCCCTCATCTGCATCCTCAGGGCCATAGTGCAGTATCTTGTCAAAGGCATTTTAATAGCTCTCAATCAGGTATACAGTGTCTCCATCATCCCCTTTTTTTCCCATAGTTTGGGTTTTATTGAAACAACACAAATTGGGCCATGTCACTTCCACGTGTAATAATTGCTGATGATTTCCATTTGCCCCCTGGCAAACCAGACCTTCTAAAACCTGGACCCCCAACCTATGTATCTGGTCTCATCTCACCATACCCTATACTCCAGTCACATGCAACTGCTTATTATTTCTCAAATGTGATCTTGAGCTACTCATTCCGTCTCCTGGCAAAATGTTATTTACCCTACAGGCTAGCCCAAACCTTACCATTTTCTCAGACCTTCCATACCCTTTCCCTTCCAAATAGAATATTTTGTGTCGATTGTAACTTGCTATCTGTTCCAATATCTTTTACACCTCTACTTTACTGTTTATCACACTGTCTCATGACTGTCTGCCTGATTCTCCCATGAGGTACTGAATCTTAAGAACAGGGATCATGGAACCCCAGAAGCTAACCCACAGCTGGCCTGGCATATGGTGTGCGCTCACTGCATGCCTAGGAAGGAGAGAGGGAAAGCCTCTTCCATGGAACCACCATGACAACATAGTCAAAAAAATCATTGAAAATAATTCCCAAATACAGGAAGTCAGTCACGAACATTCGTTTTTAAAGAATCATCAGTCCCTGCCTTCCTCCCTCATTCTCATTTAGCCCTTTCCTTCATTCCTCAATTCCATGTAGTTCCCTCCAACTTATATTAACTGCATCCTTAGTACTAGTGGCACCCAGACACCAGGATCTAACTTGATTAACATTCACCTTCTCATGATGCTAAGAGGGTTCCTGACATCATGAGAAAAGCACTGGACTAAGAGGGAGCCCAGAAGTTCTAGATCATTCATTCATTCCACAAATGTTTACTACTGAGCACCTGCTATGGGGCAGGTACTGCTGTAGGTGCTTGGGATACATTCATGAACAAAAAAGGCAAAATTTCCTGCCTTCGTGATGCTTACGTTCTATTAGGGAGAGAGAGAGATAGACAATAAATAATAAACATGATAAATAAGTCCTTTGGAAGGTGAAGATCGAAAGCACCAGGCTGGAAATGGGTGTAGGGAGAGGGTATATAGATTGTACCTTTAAATGAAAACCCTCAGTGAGAAGATGAGATTTGAGCAAGGAAGGTGATGCAGTTGCCTGACGCAGAGATATGTGAAAAGAGCATCCAGACAATGTTAACAATACAGCAAAAGCAGGAAGGGGGAGTGTGCCTGGTATGTCTGAGGATTGACAAGAAGGCCTGTGCGGCCAAATCAGAATAAGTGAAAGGAGAGGGATAGGAGAGGAAAGACAAGAGGTTAAAAAGCCAGGTGATGAAGAGTCTCATAAACTGTTATCCTCAGGACTTGGGCTTGCGTTCCAGTGAGATGAGCATTCACTGCAGACTTTAGGTACAGGAGTGCCATGATTTGACTTGAAGTCATTTGGCTGCTGTGTTAGAAATAGACTGATTATGCCCTAGTCAGTATAGCACAGTTGATGAGCATCATTCCATGCACCAAAAGGTTGCCAGTTTGATTCCTGGTCAGGGCACATGCCCAGGTTGCAGGCTGGATCCCCAGTAGGGGACATGCAGGAGGAGGCAGATCCATTTTCTCTCTCATATCGATGTTTCTCTCTCTTTTTCCCTCTCCCTCCCTCTCTCTCTGAAATCGATAAAAACATTAANGGTCAGGGCACATGCCCAGGTTGCAGGCTGGATCCCCAGTAGGGGGCATGCAGGAGGAGGCAGATCCATTTTCTCTCTCATATTGATGTTTCTCTCTCTTTTTCCCTCTCCCTCCCTCTCTCTCTGAAATCAATAAAAACATTAAAAAAAAAATTGATTGATTGTCGGGGAGAAAGGATAGAAGCTAAGGAGTATGTCAGGGGAAGCTAAGTAGTAATCCTGGCAAAAGATGACGGTGGTTCACAGCAGGGTGGCGGCAGAGAAGGGGAGAAATCATTGGTTTCCAGATATAGTTTTTTGATAGAACCAATAGGATTTCCTGACAGACTGGGTATAGGATGTGACTTTCGAGGGAAGTCAAGGAAGACTCCAAGAGTTTTGGACCAAGACACTAGGAGACGGAACTTTCCATCAAGCCAAGTGGGAAGGCTGCAGGAGGAACAGATTTGGTAGGGTGTGGGGGGTAGGGGTGCACAGGGGTGGGGAGTTCAGTTTTGGAATGCCTCTTAGATGTCCGAGGGGATATGTCAAGGACACAGCTGGACATATGAGTCTTGAGTTTGGGGAAGATTTAAATTTGGAAGTCTTTAGTGAATAGATGGCTTTTAAAATTATACCACTGGTAAGATCCCATACACTGCAACCCAAATGCAATGATCTGCTTTACCTTAGCCAAATTACCTAATCTTTCCACTTCTCATTTTATCATCTCTACAAAGGTGAAGTTAGGCTAACCGACTTTTCAACTGTGCTCTGTGGAGCACTAGGGTTCTGTAGACAGAGCTGCCAGGGTCAGAGAGATGTTTCCTCTCCCATCATCTACGCCAACAAGCAATCCCATGTTTTTACAATGAAAATCAGACATCCATTTAGAGATGGTACAAACTGATATTTATGATGTATAGTGGACTAGGGTGTGTGTTGGGGGTAAGATGACTTTCCAGATGAAAAAAATGGATACCATCTCACTTAAAACAACCCCATATATCTGCATCCTGATTGGTCAGCTATCAAAGGGATATGTGTAAATCAAGGTACAGATTAGCAACAGTATACACAGTTGTCCTAAAAAATGATTGCCATAATCAGCATGTGCTCAAGGTTTCTTCTCTAAAAGATATTTATCAAAAATCAAATTCAAATGCCTAAAGATGATATTCCATTTCTTTTTGACCCAATTAATGATGGCAGTTGAATATTCAGAAATTTCTGTGACCTTGAGACCATAACAATTAACAATTTTAATTGTAGAAAAATACATGAAGTGAATCCTGGAAGATTTTAGAAATACTTCAGTCAACTGCCCTCCCTTTATAGTGGAGGAGCTGAGGCCCAAAGATCAGAGGTCATGCTGGAACTGGGACAGAGGACACCTTCTGACTCCTCGTCCAGTGCTCTTTTCGCCACACTATGCTACCTCAAGGCTGCTTCAGAAACGCCACTGACATTTACAATTAAGGCAGAAAACACCGACTGATGAGTGATCTTCATATTTTTCTAATCCATTAATTTTACATTAACTCGCCTCCTATTTTCCCGCAGTTCTACGGCTGGTCCTTGCCATTGCCTTTTGCCTGGTGTCTGGTATCCTAGTGGTGCTGCTATTTACCCTTGTCCGCTACGGGCCCTGCTGGCAGAGAGACTCCTATCGGGGCATCTGAACAGGCAGCTGAAGGAGGACGTGCCAGACCAACCTTCCGTGAAGCCGCATCTCTCAGGGACGCCACGTTCAAAGGACAGTTTCACCGTGTGGGCCTCGCCCTGCCCACACTCTTCCTTTCGACCCAGGGGCAGCTGCTGGACTGACTGATGAATGAACGCCCAGTTGGCGTGGTTAGGTCTCCTCATCGAAGCGCAAACCTCTCATTCCGCTAAAAAGTCAAACTCCAATCAGCTTTTTGCCTGCAAACATCAAAAGGTTACAAGGTGTGGCAAAGACATAGGTTAAAAAAGACTGGATAACGGGTGGGGAGTGGGGAGGATTAGACTAGAAGTAGAATTATATGGGAAAATTCTTAAGAAATAAGATCCAATCAGAAGGTTTAATATATCTTTTTTCAGCCATTAAGTAGGTTTAATACAAACACACACACTCTGGAAGAGAAATCCCTACCCAGTGTTTGATAGCCAACATATACATACAAATACTATATTGAAAATGCCTTAAAAAGAGGTATTTAATTCTCAGAAACTGTAATACCGACCACTTTAGTTGTAGCTCAGGTCATTTTTCCCCACAATTTTTATAACAGGGAATGATCAGAAAATCCATGTACCCGTGGTTCTATTATTTTTTTTTTACCTCAACTATCAGAGCTGGATATTTTTAAAGTTCTGATTTCTTTATTTCATTTTAAAATTAAGAGAGTTTACTTTGATAAGGGCTATTCATGGCCATGATGAAATGATAATGTATTTTAATAGCTATAAATAGATCTGAATTTCTCAACTGGTGAGACACATAGAAAAGTAGACTGAAGGCTGACTGGCTGCCTCAGCTCTGTGCTAGCTTTAGGCCAAGTTGGAACAATTTTTTTTTTAATCTTAAACCTTGGTTTCATAATCTAGAAATGAAAAGTCCTGAGTAGATAAACATAGAATTCACATCCAGTTCTCATGGTCTAGGAACAATTTGTTTTTTCATTTTGTACTCTGGATTGGTCATTGTCCAAGCAAGCTCTTTCATGAGTGGTACCATCCAAATTCAATGTCCATTTATTTTGGTAATTTCAAGTGTGATGCCTCTTAATGAAAGTGAGGATTTTTTTTTGCACTTTATTCAGGAAAACAGTATTCCTACTTGGCCACTTCAAAGTCACTGAAAGATCTGGGAAGTAGCCCTACACTCACAAAACATCTAATTATCTCGATTAAATTTGACCTGATGCAATGACATAGCTAGGACCGTAAGCTATGGCCCAAATGGTGGAGATGAAACCAAAATGCTTGAATGTGGCTCGTGGGAGTTGCAAACCTAGGAGTTTGCAAAGGAGAGAGGACTACAGACTTGGGATCATCAATTCACATTCATTGGACCAGCATCTAACGCTAGCGATGCTTTGCCTCAGTCCATTTTATTTCACAAATATTTGACCACTCTCAATTGGGCAGCACTGTATGTGCCTTCCAAGGGGACAATGTACTTTTAACGGGGCAAGTTGCAATATTTCCATTTCAGCATGTTCCTCTGAAAAGGATCATTAATTGTGATCTAGAAAACACTGGTCTACAAAATCATTGTGTTAATTTGGTAACATTCGGTTTTTATCAGGTTGACGACTTCTAATGTCACGTGCTCTGGTTTCTGGGCCCTTGTCGTTATTTTTCCGTTAAGGCTCACATGCTCTTTGAGGAGTTTATAATGGACTTTCAGTACTATTCAGTTATGATTACATGATTTGGCAGTGACTTTGCAACACAAACATTAGGGAGAGATCTGGAAATTCTGTTGGAGGTTTCAGCACTAATATTTTTGCTATGTAGGGCTAAGGGAAAGTGTGAGTTATTAACAAATACTCTGATTACTTTATCAACATATTAGAGTCTTTAAAAAAAAATTTTTTCCCCAGTAAAATTGGTTTTCCTTTTTGTATTCAATTTAGTTCATTCACCCACTGAAGGAAATCTGTGTTGTTTCCAACTGTGGGCAATTACGAATAGAGCTATGACAGACATCTGTGTACGGGCTTCTGTGCAGATCTACGTTTTCACCTCTTAAAGCAATTACCAGGAATGGAATTTGGGGGTCACATAGTAATTTTATGCTTAACTTTATAAGAAACTATCAAACAACTTCCCAGGGTGGCTGTACCATTTTGCATTTCCCCCCTATAGCAATGTGTAGAATTTTGGTTGCTCCACATCCTTACCAGCACTTGGTGCTGTCAGGAATTCTTAATTTAGCTGCTCAGAAATGTAGTTGCATCTCACTAATTATTTGCATTTCCCTAATAGCTAATGATGTTAAACTTTTTTTTTTTATGTGTCTATTTGCCACCCATTTTATCTCTTTGGTCAAGTGTCCATCCATGTCTTTGGCGGATTTTTAATTAGGCATTTGTTTTCTTATTGTTGAGTTTTGAGAGTTCTTTTTATAACCTGGATAAAAGTCCTCTGTCAATATATAAGTTGCAAATATTTTCTCCCAGTCTGCAGCTTATATTTCCATTCTCCTAACAGTGTCCTTTGCAGAGCAGAAGTTTTTTATTGTGATAAAGCTCAATTTATCTATTTTATTTTTTTAAGAATCATACTTTTGATGTCACATATAAGAATTCATCACTAAATCCAAAATTGTCCTTTTTTCCTAAAAATTTTATGGTTTAACATTTTATAGTTAGGCCTATGACCTAAAAGTTTCTTTTTCCCCCTTATCTATGGGTTGTTAGATTTTTTTCAAATGCTTCTCTGCATCAGTTGATATGCTCGTGAAGTTTTTCTTTAGATTGGTAATAGGGTGGATGACATTGATTTCTGAATAAAAAACTAGCCTTTGATCCTGGGATAAACTCCACTTAGTGTAATGTATCTTTCTTTTGATATATCCCTCAGTGCAATTCGGTAATGTTTTATTGAACATTTTTCATCTACGTTCATGGGAGAGATTGATCTGTCGTTATTTTTTCTTATAATGTCTTTGTCCGCTTTTTGCATCAGAGTAACGCTGGCATCATGAAATAACTTGGGACTCCTAGGGAAGGCTGCTAAAAAAAAAAAATGTATCCCTACATACTCAGAACTTCCCCATAGTTCAGAGATGTGTGGGGTGAGCATCCACAATATTGGAGACTTTTCTACAACCAAACCAAACAGAATTTTCTGACATCACAAAAGCATGCTATTGATAAAAGTGCACTTTTCAAGATTTTACTGCCTTCTCCTACTACACTGCCTGAGTATACTCCCTATTGTATTTCAACCTAGAGAGTGCTAAGGACTTAAAGCCCCGCCCCCAACTTCTTTCAAAATTCTTAAATGAAGAAACACAACAGTGTCAGTAAGAACCACATGTGGCAGCTTAGATCCTACAGGACAGAAGCTGGGATGTTTTAATTACTAGAGTAGTATTCCTCAGGGTCCAGAGCCTCTTATATGTCTACTTACTGTGGGGAGGTAATTTCAGTGGTATCAGAACACAGAAACTTCCCATCTTCCAACACTTGTATGCATCCCTGATATAAACCCTTTGAATGGTTTAATCATTATGATGCAAGAAGCTGGGGCTCATCTTCTTTCCCAAATATTTGTGAGGTTGCACAAAGGACTCAACCACTAGTCTGCAGGTATAGTCTGACACCTACTGTCCATAGGTGGTCTCTGCACGCTTGCTTTCGTAGTTTAAAAATATGATTTAAAACACAAGTTATGTTTAGTGTTTCCTATGAACGAATGAGAACAGATCTGGATTCTTCTATCCACCACCCGACGATCTGCCTCCTTTGTTCTAGACATCACACCTAGCTAAAATTCACCACCACTGTTTCCTTACACTGGGCCAGAACTTGGGCTGTCATCCATCTGCGAAAAATGTCACTGAGGAAATGGGTCATATCAGTCAAATTCTGGGGTAGCTTATGACCTATGCACAGTTGGAAGTTCAATTAAGGTCTCCAGCTGTTGCAGGAAAAAATCACAACTTTCCTTCATCCAAATTTAAATTCTATGGTCAGGATAGCAGAAGAGAAGATAGAAAAAAGGTAGACCAAGACGTTGCAATCTCATTTCTCTTTTCCTTGGAAACTTCCGCCCCTCACATCTTCCCCAGGTTCCCTAGTTACCAACATTCAGGTCTCGGCTCAAATGTCACTTCCTAGAAAGCCTCTCTTGACTGCCTGGGTAAAGCAGTCACTCTGCTCTCCCTACCCCCTAGCCCATTACCCAGGTTTTATTTCTTCACAGCACTATCACTAACTGAAACGATCTGATTCAATTATTTTCAATGTGTCCACTGTCCTCCTCCCCTACCACCCCGCCCCCTGCCAGAGGTAAGGGCTATTTCTTTGTTCACTGCCACATTCTCAATACTTGGAACAGGACCTGACACAGATAGTTAGCTGAAAAAAACGTTTGCACCATAAATGTTCACCTCAAGCATCCCTGAGCTACAGGGACCTTCTGAGTCGGCAGCAGTGAGCTGGGAAGAACTTTATGAGCTGCCCATTCTGGGAGTCCACGAGGGTATTATCATTATTTGTGTTTGTGTGTAATCGCTGAAGGAAAATATTTATATGAATATGTTGGCTAAATGGCAAATTCGATATTCTGAGATCTAATAGGAACATTAATGTGACCGTCAGAAATTTGGAACCCGATCCCCAGATTTAGAGGAACTCTGGGAATAATTACTCCTGGAGGGCCAGTTATGGGTTAGGTGGAGTAAGCATACTTCCCACCTCCTCTCCTGCTGGATATGACCACAAAACCTGGACAGCATGCATCAGAAAACTATTTGAATAGTCTAAAAAGTAAATAGCAATAGGCAGATTGGAAAAGAACATCAGAATCCTGAATGACAACAATCTAAACCCAAATATATCAATACTAACACTAACCTATATGATCTGAACATGCTCATTTAAAAACAAGAATTGTCAGAAAGGATTAAAAAAACACACCTAACTCTAGGCCATCTACACGAAACTCAGTTCAGCCTGGCCAGCGTGGCTCAGTGGTTGAGCACCAACCTAGGATCCAGGAGATCCTGGTTCGATTCCAGGTCAGGGCACATGCCTGGGTTGTGGGCTCGATCCCCAGTCGGGGGCATGCAGGAGGCAGCCAATCAATGACCCTCTCATCATTGATGTTTCTATCTCTCTCTCTCCCTCCCTCTCTCTGAAATCAAGAAAGACATATTTTTTTTAAAAAAAGAAAGAAATTCAGTTCAAGTATGATGTACATCGACTCATGCACCAAGAAGTCCCAGTTCAGTTCCCAGTCAGGGGACATGCCTGAGTGGTGGGCTCAATCCCCAGTAGGGGGCGTGCAGCAGGCAGCTGATCAATATTGATGTTTCTCTCTCTCACCCTCTCCCTTCCTCTCTCTCTAAAATCAATTAAAACATATTTTTTAAAAAGTAAAATGACAGAAAAATATACATAATCTTAATAGGAGAGTAAATAAATATACCATATCAAGCATCACATCACTCATCTGCACATTCATTCATCAAATATTTGTTGAAAATATAATAGGCTTAAAACATTATGCTGCACACTTCTAGGTACTAAGTTATAATCCTAAGAGCCATATTTAAGAATGAATTATATTAGTCAGGAGAATAGATGATAATAGTACCTGGGTCAGAGTGGGATAGGTAGAAATGGGAAAAAACAAAACAAAAACAAAACACAACCCTACAATCCAATATTTGAGATAGCTTTTAATACATAAAGGCAAAGCTTCCATTCACCAAGATTTCCAGGCAAAGAAGTTAAGTGGAAATAATATGAGAAGAGAAAAATCAGCTGAATAAAAGATACAACATGCCTTACTGGGTTGTATACCCTCCTCTTAAATAAGCATGACTAACAAAACCAAAGTAGAACCGAACTAGTCAGTCCACTATGATCACCTAGAAAGTAATATTAGGAAAGAAGTTAAGACAAGGTTAGAAATCCTAACTGATGGGGGATATTATATGCATTTTCTATTCTGTTTTTGGTTAAACATAATCTTTTCTTTAATGTAAGTTTTTAAAAAAATCATTTCATAGAAATATCCATGCCATGCTGACCCAGGGACCATCATCTGGTCTGCTGACTAATATAATGCACTTTTATATGTGTCTTTTAAGATTATGAGTAAATACCTTAAAATGTGCAGAGCATAAAATCATGCCTTAAATGTAGATTTTAATAATATTTGCTGAATGAGTGCATAAATGAATGCAATACTTATTTGATGTGTTTCCTCCCCTACTGGGACTTACAGATTCCAGCAGCATTAAGTAGGGCATTGCTACAGTCCTGGAAGAGTCATTATAATAGAAAACACTTTCAGAGTACTCACTACATGCCATACATGGTTCTAAGTGCTTCACAAATATTAGCTGGCTTATAACTTCAATAAACATGAAAGATATTATTACTTGCCCCATTTTTCAGATGCGAAAACTAAGGCATAGAAAGGTTTAATCACTTGCCTAAATTCATCTTTCTTAAGGAGTTAGTAAGTGATAAGAAGAGGGATTCACATACTTACCTGGCAGCGGGGATACTATTGATCACGAAGGTGGTTTTCCGAGGGTGAGGCTTACCCATTGCCTTCTGGATATGCTGAGCTGATGCCTGTGATTTCCACAAATGTGGGTAACTCAACTGCATAATTTGTGGCAGTGGGGGACAGAAAAAGAAAAGAAAAAAAAGAAGTGGGATTCACATCCATGTAGTCTGGCTCCAAAGTACATGCTCCAAACTGCTACCATGTTGTGGTCCAGTCGGTCTCAAAGTTGAGTGTACATCAGAACCACCTGGATGGCTTGTTACAACAGATTGTTGGGCCCCACCCACAGGGACTCTAATTCTGTAGGTGTAGGGCAAGATCCTAGAATTTGCTTTTCTAACAAGTTTCCAGGTGATGCTGATCTGGCCTGAGGGTCCCACTTTGAAAAGCAACCTAAGTACTTTAGAGAAGAAAAGAAATGGCCTCTGTAGACATCTCCTTTCTCCAATACCCTCCCGTTGAAGAGGTTCCTGGTCCTGACCAGACATTACTCAAGCTTTGGATGCAAACTGGGAGAGCCTGGAGGGGTTGGGCATTCCTTCTCCCTCTTAGGTGATCCTAAGTATCTTCTTCTTCCTGATGATAACAGTCAATCCTAGATTCTAGCACTTACCACACATGAAGTGATGCCAGTGGTTGATGACCATTGGGACTTTCTGTTGATGTCTTCCTTTTTACCCACCTCCTCCAGTTTTACCTAAGGTATGCAGCAACTAGAAAATGACAATGTTGAAAAAAAATACTTGTTTTACTTGCTCCAAACTTGGAAAATCTCTCTAATCCCAGTTTGCTCATCTGTAAAATGGGGACGGTAGTATTATCTATTTCACAGAATTTGTCAAAGAGTTGATGCTTGCAAAGCACCTAAGTACCTGGTACATGGTAAATACTTAATGATTAGTGGCTAATATCTGTTATTAACAATAAGAATTGCATAATGTAATTCCTAACTTGTTTTCAGACAATTTCTGAAAAGCAGTGTTAAAATCATGTGATGGGCTCAGCAGTGTGTTAAAACAGATGTGATGGCTACTTCAGTGGAGACGCGAGAGTGCTGTCTTGAGCCGTGTGAAATGGATTAAACGTGCATGAAGATACGTGCTTTGTTAAGGACCTGATCATGACATGCAGAATCACAGGTCAATTCTTTGTTTTTTTAATCCTCAACTGAAGATATTTTTCCATTGCTTTTCAGAAAGAGTGGAAGGGAGGGAGGGAGAGAGAGAAACTCCGATGTAAGAGAGATACGTAGGTTAGTTGCATTGAGCCTGCAACCAAGGTATGTCCCCTGAGCCAGAATCAAACCTGGGACTCTTCAGTCCTCGGGCTGAGGCTCATCAGAGCTGTGCCTAGAAAATGTACGTGCTCAATTAGGCATCAGCTGCTGACATTATTTAAGATTGTTTGTCAGGTATACAACTGAATCTAAGCAATGCCCACCTTGAGCTTAATGTGCTGCACTAAACTTGATACATCTCAGCCTATATCATGCTCTTTTTCAATGCAACTGAATACAATCCTTTTTCCTACGTGAGTTTAAATTTGTGTTTTCAACAGTGATTGTTTATATCAAATTTCTCAGGATTCTTTTACTGCTGTTGGAAATTCTTTGGTCTTCAAAATGTTTTGAAGTACTTTCTTATTTTTGGAGAGTTAAAAGGAAAAAAAAAACCCACCATCCTCATTTCTGGAGATAAAAACTATAAAATATAGGTTATGAGAAATGATCAAGGGAAACAGCCAATGAGTCCAACTCCCAACCCAGCCTGAAGATCTGGGATAAAACATGACTGGAAGCTATTACCATTAAAAGGGTAAGAAACTTAGGTTACAAGATTGAAACTTAAAAGAATCAACACCAGAATTGGGGGTCGCTATTCACAGGAAATCTTTCCAGACATTACTCATGTATGCCTGTACTCTATTTTTGTTACATGCTTGTAACATATTAAACATCTTGCATATACATATTACAAAATACAACTAGAAATACTCTAAATAAGGCTACAATTTACTACAAAATAAGAAACAACTATAGAAAATTGAAAAATAAGAAGTCAAGAGATATTCTTGCACATTATTTGAAATGACCTATATCCAAGGACGTTTTCATTCCAGCCTTGGTGTAAAAGTTAAAGATTAGAAAGAACCTAAATGTCTACTAATAGGAGAGAAGTTGAAGTACGTTTTATCTACATAATGAAATAATTTTCAGCCTTCATAAGAATGAGGCAAATTACATAGACCAATTTCAAAGATATATTTTTTGTTTTTGTTTTTTTTAAATATATCTTTATTGATTTCAGAGAGGGGAAAGGAGAGGGAGAGAGACAGACAGAAACATCAATGATGAGAGAGTCACTGATCGAGCCTGCAACCGGGCATGTGCCCTGATCGGTAATTGAACCCTGATTGCCTGGATCCTAGGTCGACGCTCAACCGCTGAGCCACGCCTGGCCGAGCAAAGATACATGGTTGATAAAAAATGTAAGATATTGAACTATGGGTATGGTTCACTACCATTTGTGTAAAAATCAACTATGCAGCCCGGGGCGTGACTCAGCAGTTGAGCACAAACCTAGGATCCAGGAAATCCTAGTTCCATTCCCAGTCAGGGCTCATGCCTGGGTTGCGGGCTCAACCCCTGGTAGGGGGCGTGCAGGAGGCAGCTGATCAATGACCCTCTCAGCATTGATGTTTCTATCTCTCTCTCCCTCTCCCTTCCTCTCTCTGAAATCAATAAAGATATTTAAAAAAAAAAATCAACTATATATACAAACATGTATCTATATATATGTATACAGATATATATGGATATATGCATGTGTGTATGTAATATACATACATAAACCCATTATTCATGTATATGTATTTATGTATGCATATAAGATATTCCGAATAATGGAACAGTTGATGCTTTCTAGTTCTCATTTTTGTAACATCAAAGAATAACTGAGGTTTAAAAAACATAAAGAAAAATTTAAGTTTGAAGTGTCATCTTTTAGGGATCTGAATTTAGCCTCACTGGTACCTCAATGAAACAAAAAACTCCAATAGTAGTACTAGTATTTCCAGCAGCATTTGCTGAGCTCTTGCTATGTTCCAGGTACTTTTCCATGCACTTTAGAACTAGTGCATCGAAATCTTCACAATAACTCTATGAAGTATGTATTACTTTTGTTCATTTTAAGATGAGGGAACTGAGGCACAGAGAGACTGTCACTTGTCTTTCTTCCTCTCTTAAGTGTGGACAGTGACTTCACCCATCAAGGACAAGGGACAGCCAGTACCATTTTTATCATCAAAGTTCTTTTCTGATTTCAGCAGGAGCCCTGCCAGGATGAATTTCTTGGTCACTCTGAATATAGCACTTGATGTGCCTGAGGTGTGTGAACCCTACCTCACACACCTTTAATGAGCACTGAATGGTGAACATACATGAAAAGTGTTGCCATTTTAAATGAAAATGACATGCATTCTATGACTCTAAAATATAAGGCAGACAAGTTTTACAATCTCAATACAGGTGATATTACTATTTACATATTTGGTAATTTCCACAAGAAAAATCCCTTTTCTATTTGGATTTCATGCATTTTAGAAAAGCTAGTTCCCTTTTTAAATTAAGTTAAAGAAACCTCCAATTGAAGGAAAATTGCAGCAGAAATTCCTAAGAGAGGTCATGGGGACAAGAGAGACAATAAGGAGTGACTAAAGAAACAAAAAGACAGAATCAGAAACAAGCAAAAATAGCTCCCACTGACAAGCAATAAAAATTTTTAAAAAAATCTACCCAAGCCAAACTGTTTCATAGCCCTCTACTTTTAATAAGGACAGAGCTGGCTCAGAACAGGCATAATTCTGAAAATTATAAAATATAATAATGCCAACGTCTTTTACGGGAGATTATCAAAACATTTTACCCAAAGAGAAAAAACTGACAACCGTCTTATTCTCTAGAGCATACCTCTTGCCTCGAGTGCTGGAGGTTTTGCCAGGGATGGTAGAAAATCAGAGGGAGATTTCTGTCCTGTTTTGGATTCAAACTCCCTGTCTTTTATTTTTATTTATTTTTAAAATATTTCTTTATTGGTTTCAGATAGAGGAATGGGGAGAGATAGATAGAAACATCAATGATGAAAGAGTCATTGATCGGCTGCCTCCTGCATGCCCCCCACTGGGCATCGAGCCTGCGACCCAGGCATGTGCCCCGACTGGGAATCGAACCACGATCTCCTGGATCACAGGTCAACGCTCCACCTCTAAGCCACACTGGGCAGGCAAACTCCCTGTCTTTTAAAACCTGGGCTTGTGAAATATGCAGCATTGATACTTTCGCAAAACAGAAGCAAGAAAACGGTAGACTATGCTGAGACGGCACTGGGACTTGCTCATTGAAGGCCTTTGTCAGCACGGTCAGCTCTGAACTGGAAGCCAGAACACTGCTTAAGGCAGCAGGGAGGTCACAAAGCAGTAAACATCTTTCCTCTCTAAATAGTTCTCTTATAAAGAGAACTGTATTGAGCAGATAACAACGTGGAACACAGTTGGAAGAGAAAAGAGTCTGGAGCACACAGAAAAGAGTCAGAAGTGAAGAGCTGGGATAAAGACATTTATTGTATGTATTGATTTTTATGGATTCTACTGTTAAGCCTTCACTTAGAGAGATGAACCATGTTTTTTTTTGGTCTGGCTACTTAAAACTTCCTGATGCCAGAAAAGGGTGGAAAAGGGAGAAAATACCTCACCCCACCCCTTTCTTTTTGCAATAGAAATAGAAATGTCAGCAAAAGGTACTGGTTTGTTTTCTTTGTTCTTTCTAGCAGCAAAACCAGTGTGCCGCTATTGTTTGCTGGCCTAACAAAAATGAAATCAAGGCTTTCACCGAACAGCCTTCTATTCTTCTGCCAAATGCTGAGTAAACAGTCCAGCTTCTGCAACAGCTTGCTTTAATGATCCTAGACAGTTTCTGTTCGTGTCTTATACTGGGTCACAAAGAGGAAAGAGGGGTAACAGAAATAAAAATGGGACAGAAATGAAATTAGCGCTTTGAAGGTGATCTGGGCTGGTATCATTATCAGTTCCTCAGGGAGGAAGAACTGGAATTATTTATTAGCTTCCCACTACATGTTTTGAAGTTATTTCACTTGTAAATCTCTATCATTCCCATTCAACAGAATGCATTCAACTATTCTCAATAAATCTTTTTGCCATCTTCATAACCTCTTTGGAAATTTTGACTTATTGATTCTTAAGATTGTGGTGACTCTACTTGACATGTATAGTCAAGGTTTTGGTGCAAAATCAGATAAGCAACCTCCAATCCAGGGGCTTGTTAGGGTTTTTGGAGTGCTACATGGTTCATTGTGGCCCCTCAAATGGTTGTATTTTAAAGTTTATTACATTACCTCTCAGAGTCCAAGCTGCTAGAGGCTTGAGTGAGCCCCAGGGCTATGAGTTATCAGTGGTGACTTGTAATACCATGATGGCATTCTGGGCTAGAAGGAATCAAACTTCCTCATGGGACATTCAAGTCTCCACCCCCTCCGGTCTGGTTTGTGAAACTGGATTTGCTGTCTTCCCAGAAATCTGCAGTGACAGAGATGTTCGAAACCATAATCGCAAAGGCACAGCAGCAAGGAATGGTTGGCTGCCTTTTTCAACAAAATCCACTTGAGAAAAACTACTGGAGACAAACAAACCACCACCACATAAGAAATTAAAATGAAGTCCAGTAGAGGATTCTGTGGGATCTTCAAGCTTGCCAACTCAATGGAAAAGTATTTTCTGACACTGTGTATCTGCACAAGACTTTCTGTAGCACTCACTGTCCAGCAGAAACATCATGGGAGCCAAGTATAAAATTTCACATTTTCTAGTAGCTACATTTTAAAAAAGAAACATGTGATATTGATTTTAACAAATGTACTTTATGTAACCAAATACATACCCAAATATTATTTCATGTAATCAATATAAAAATTGTTAGTGCAATATTTTACATTTTTTTCATGTTAAATCTAGTGTGTATTTTAACTTTATTTCAAGTATTCAGTAGTCACATGGGTTAGTAGCTACTGCATTTGAAACAGTTCAAATCTTGCTGAATTATGTAGAGTTCTTAAGCATTTATTTAGGATCTGGGCATTCATGTAATTAGGTAGGCAATTTAACAGCAATATGGAGTTCAATAAGCAGACGTTGGACGGTTTTGTGGGTTCCCTAAAATCTTAAACCTTGCCTGTCTATACACTAACTTATACCACTGATAAAAGCTATTGATACCTAAGAAGCTGTGAAATATTATAAATATATATCATATAATTTGGAAGGACATCATCTGTGTTGTTCCCCTTTCCTGACTGTAAATTTGATATGTTTGCACTATGAACGTGTCAGAAAAGCTAAGGCAAACCTGGATTTTAGTAGAAAGATAAATCCAGAAAGAGGAGTTTGAGGATCCTGCCTTGTATTTGTTACTTTTTTTAAAAAATATATCTTTTTTTTATTGATTTCAGAGAGAGAGGAAAGGAGAGGGAGAGGGACAGAATCATCAATGATGAGAGTGTCACCAATCGGCTGCCTCCTGCACGCCCCCAGCTGAGGATCAAGCCCGCAACCCCGGCATGTGCCCTGACTGGGAATCGAACTGCAATCTCCTGGATCCTAGGTCGATGCTCAACCGCTGAGCTACACCGGGCCAGGCTATATTTGTTACTCTTTAAAAAGAAGGGGGTGGGGGGGTATGGGATTGATTTAACAGAATAGGGAAAGAAAAGACAAGTCCTCCTATCCTTCCCGACTCTTGTGTTTAATTTTAGTGTTTTAAGGACACTACAAACCTAATTAACGGCAACCAGGGGATTTGTGAAAAGGCTTGAAACCACATCCTGTAAGCAACAGTTGAAAGCACTAGGAACGCAGCTTTTGAAGATGGGAAGCTGTGGCTGGGGTAGTTAGAAGGATAAACAGAGGAGAGAGAGAGGATGATTAGCTGTATAGGCAAATACTTAAAGGGATGTCACATAGAGGAAGAAAGTGCAAAAAACAAAAACAAAAACCTATTCATGAAAGAGAGGACAAACTGAATACAAAGACACTGGTTTCTAAAACTGCGAAATGAAAAGAAAAAGAAAAAAAAGGCCTTGGGAGGCAGGAAATTTTCCACTACATGGGATGGGCAGTGAGGGACAATTCATGAAGCCTAAAGGCTCCTCCCAACTCTCATAATCAATTTTATCTGTCCCAGATACTGAACAGAGAGGCAGTGTGGAGGTTAATAGTTCACTGGCCTTAATGTTACAAGTCCTGGGACTCAATCTCTGCTCAGCCTTTAGGAGCTGGGCCACCTTGGGCAAGTCTCTTAGGCTCTCTGGGTCCGCTTCATCTATAAAATAGAAACAATACACCTCACAGCTACTTCTGGGATGATTGGAAGGCTTTGCAACCTATAAGATAAACACAGGTTTCTGTTTCCGCGGCCTAAGCCAAGAAGACCTCTTGATTCAGCGCTCCCTTTTTCCCTCTTTCTCCTCTATGCCAGGTTTTATCTTCCCCCACCCAGCCATTCCTGGTACCACCCCTTCGATGGGGAAGCCTAAGGTAAATGCAGTCTTTTTCTACCCCAAGGTAGGGCGAAGGGTCAGTGAAGTCAAGCAGCAGCATCTCGGAAGAACGAGTGTCTCCTCTCCACTTCCCGGCCTGCAGTCCCCGTGTCGAAAGCACGAGCCCGCCGCTTAAAGGGGCTCCAAAGAAACCACAGCGTCAGGATTGCTCTGCAGAGTGTCAACCCCCTTATCAGGGACCTTTAACCCTCGTAAAATAATGTATCCATGCAAGCCGTCCTGCACCATGCATACTCTGAAGTTTGTAACAGAATCACTTTCGAAACTACGGTCTTTAGAGTTCAGGTCTGAGAGTGGAGGCTGACCTTCTTTAATTACACCTTTACCGACAGGTTAATACATAAGAATAATACCTCCCCCCGCTTTCTCTAGCCTGACTCCCCCCCAGCGCCTGTATGTTCAGGGAGATGGTATCAGGGGCACAGGCTCTGAGGTCAGATTGCTTGGGCTCAAACAAGTCCGCTCCCGTGAGACCGGGCGTTGCATTACCTGCAAAACGAGGGTGATTCCACCTTGACGGGGCTGGAGCCTAAGTGAGCTCCCGACACGTGACCAGCACACACTAAAAGGAGCTATCAGTACATCTTTCTGGCGGCGCCGCCAAAAGGCCGAAGGCACCGCCCAAGCTTTGGTCTTGGCGACGGCCCAGACCAACCCAAACTTAAATCCTTCCCACTGCGGTTCTGGGGGCGTCATGAACAAGCGGAAAGGCGAGCCCGGCCCGACGGGGCGGCAGCGGGCGGCGGGTGCTCCGCGGCCCCGTGGAGTCAAGGGCTAAGCGGGAGAAAGGCTCCCACACGGGCGTCAGGCGCTAAAAGCGCAACCCGGGGGCCGGCCCCGCGGCAGCCCTCCGAGGCCAGAACCACGTGCGGAGGGGCGTGGCCTCCTTTCGCGCGTGCCCGAGGGCGGGTCCTCC